ACTCCCGCTGCGGCGTGCGGGGACCGGGCCGGCCGAGCGCTCTGCCCCGCGCCCCAGCTCCGCGCCAAGCCGCGCGGCGACAGGTGCCGCCGGGCCGAGGACCCACCTGCGGCGGCGGCCGCGATGCCGCCCATGCGGAGGACCGTGTCGGAGATCCGCTCGCGCGCCGAGGGTGAGACGCGCGCGGGGGCGGCTCGGAGCGGGCCGGGGGGGGGGGGTGCGCTTATCCGGCAGGAGACCCCGTCCCTCCTACCTCCCCCTTCCCCGCTAGTCTGGTGTCGCGCGGGCTCCCGCGGACCCTCCCCCCGCGCTGCCTCCGGGGACACCCGCAGACCCTTTCCGGGCCCCCGGGCCTCGTGCCGCGTCCTGGGCGGGCGCCCCGGGCTGGCTCCGCACCGCGGCGTGGCCGCTCGCCTCGGCCGCCCAGACCCTCGCCCTGCCCGGCCCCGACCGCGCGCGGACCTCCCGGCTCCACCCGCACCCCACTCTGGGGAGCAGGTGCCCGCCGGTCGCCCTGCCCCCCTGCCCTACAGGCCTGAGCCACTGCACCCAGACAAGTTTTGTTGTCTTTTGATCTTTCCAGTGAACCTGTGCTTTGAACTTGACTTTGTCCAGGGCAAAGCGAAAACTGTGCGTATCTCGAGGTTTGTCGTCTTGGGTTTCTTTCCCGTAATAAACCTGTACTTGAATCCTGCAGAGGGAGGAATAATAAATAGGTCCCTGAGAGATCTTGCCATCCTGGTTCCTGCTCTTCCACCCAGCCCCCACCCCCTAATGGGAGGCAGGTGGGGAAGTGGTTTTGGGAAAAAGAGATAATACAAGTTAGGAGGATAGCACCCCGGGGCTCGAGACAGCACATTTTTTTTTGTTTTTCACAGAGTCCCCTTGTAAAAATAGGATCCGTGGGCTCTGAATATCTAGAATTTTCTGATTCCAGTGCTGAGAAAATATTAAACGAAACTGCTCTTGGGGAGAAGGCCAGGCAAGAGTCACAGCTGAACGGTAGTCGTGTGCTACGTGGGCATTTAGCGCTTGCTTATTGGCATTGATAAAGCACCAAAAGACACTTAACATGGGCCATCGGCTGTTTTAGATTATCACCTGTTGAGTAGGTGATAACATTATAAAAAATACTAAAGGATGCATTCTCTTTTGCTCGTCTGAGTGGAACCAACAGGTGTTGCCCATCACCACTCCATCAGCATGTAGGGGTAATGAAAATATAGCGGCAATGATAATTGTGTATTGTTCTTTGCAATAATAGCGTCGGTGGGTCCTGCATTGTAGGAAAACAGGGAGGAGAGAAAAAAGCTGAAAGTGATTCCAAACCCGTGGCACGCCAATTAGCGGCCTTGGTTTGCACGTGAGTTTTTCGAAGCACTTTCAGGAGGATTACTTTAGGGAACCTTGCAGCAGTCCTGGAGGCTGGTGGAGCTGGAGTACCGTCTCCCAGTTGGGGAAGCTGGCCCCGGATGGTTTGGTGACTTGCCCACGGTCGGGTAACACGTTTCAGCCAAGAGCTCTGGGAAAAACAAGGCTTGCTTCTTACTTAATCTTGGTGCTCTCTTTGCTTCCGGGAATTGTCAGGTCCACGGTGGCAGCTGGGCGAGTGACCGTCCCCTCCCATAACTGGATGATTTCGGTTTGCGAACGGGTTCAGGATTGTGCTCAGGACGGAGGGAGGCGGTGAAGAAGACAGAATAAATAATGACTCTGTGGGCTGGTGGCTCTTGGTGGCTCATTGCCTGCTCTGCCCACACCTTTCTTTCCTGAGGAATATTCGGCTTTGAGAGCTCCTGCTGCCCACAGGGCCTGGTTCTGAGCCGCAGCGTCCCTGGTCCTGGCTAGTAGACTCCTGACCCAAGGGAAGCCGATTCTTAGGTTGACTCAGGCCCTTGCAGCCTTGTGGTTTGGCTCAAAAGGATTGTCCCTGCTGATCTCTCTGGGAGGCATTCAAGTTAGAGACTTAGTGGGAAAATGAAAGCACAAAGGGGCAGAGGTGGATATAGGCTGGGAGGTGAATGGTGCTGATAAAAGGAAGCAGAAATCAGGAGTGGATACAGACAGGAAAGGGAATGAAACGGGCAGGGCAGCCCCAGGTGCTGAGAGAGGTGGCCAGATCTTGAAGCCTGCCCTCCCTCTCTCCCTCTCTCCCTGAGTTTTCTAGTGCCAACACCTGTAATCCTAGCACTCTGGGAGGCCGAGGGGATTGCTCGAGGTCAGGAGTTCGAAACCAGCCTGAGCAAGAGCGAGACCCCATCTCTACTATAAATAGAAATGAATTGGCCAACTAAAAAATATACATATAAAAAATTAGCCGGGCATGGTGGCACTTGCCTGTAGTCCCCAGCTACTCGGGAGGCTGAGGCAGGAGGATCGCTTGAGCCCAGGAGTCTGAGGTTGCTGTGAGAGAGGCTGACACCACGGCACTCACTCTAGCCTGGGCAACAGAGTGAGACTCTGTCTCAAAATAAATAAATAAGATACCAAAAATCTCATTAAAATGCAGTTTCCTGTGCTGGCTCATGAAGATTCTGCTGAATGAATCTGGTACCCTGGGAATCTGCATTCCTAAGGCCCCTGCCCCGTTCCAGGGATATTCTGGTGCTGGGGAAACATTTTGAGCAACTCTCCTGCATGCTATTGAAACTGTCTGACTGAGAAAATAGATTAAAAAGGTAACTGAGAAGGAGGGTCCGTGTGCTCAGAGAAAGTATCCTAATTTGGAGGGAACTGTGGGTCATCCCATTGGACTTGTTTTAAAGGTGCATGGAAATTTTGAGGTCAGATGTGGGAGAAATCAAACTGGGGAACCTTCTGAGTCCAGAGATAATAGCCGAAACCTTGACAGTTGGATAAATTTGCAAGAGTGGATGATATACCAGAAGGCCAAGATGTTTAGGTCTCTCCACTCCTGTCTCGGCTAAATCAGATGGGCGCGGGAACGCAGCATGAATGATCTGCAAGCTGGGACGCAGATAATGGAGGCTTGCACGCAACTCGTTTTTTCTCACGCGCGCAAAACCGGTATGGAAGTAGTTCAGGGTCAGCTGTGTTTGCCGCGCACACACACGCACAGTCGTAAGGGGTGTTGGTTCCTTGTGCCTTTCTGCTTCACCACCCTGAGCATTATTATGACATCCATAACGTCGCATCGTGGCTGCTTGGGTGCCAGCCATCGTGTAGGAGTTCTAGGCAGGGAAAAAAAAAAATGGAAGGGTGAGAGACAAACAGGTTTGGTAGAAAGCACCACCCAAAAACGGATGCTTATTTTTCATTGGCTCCCAGCTGCAAGGGAGGCTGGGAAATGGAATTTTCCAGTGGGGCGAAATGCTCAGTGTTGTCTTCTTAAGAAGAGGGAGAGTGGTTTATTGGGCAGGTAACAGGCTCAGTCACACTCAGGTAATCAGATTGCCAAAGACTCTTGCTTGAATAAAACTGTTCTAAAGGTCATACTTTACAAAAGAAGCATTAAATGTTACTCCTATATGTCCACTTAGGTGTTGATCTGTTAATACCAATTTGCTGGTGAGCACATTAAATTATTAAAAGTAACGTGCACAAGACCCACCACCTACCTATCCTGTGGTTTGCATTTTCTTCTGCTGCTCGGCAATAATGCTACAATGTAAGAACGGTGCACGTGGTTTTGGAAAACGTTTGCTAAGCGATTGTGTTTAGAAGTCGTTTTAGGGATTGTTCTCTTAAGTGGCAACTCTACAATGTAACTACACCAGGATACTATGTTTCATTTGTTTAAAAGGCAACGAGAGGAACAAGAGAAGTCATTTCTGTGTGCACTGTTGAAGGGAAACTCTTAGGCTATTGCAGTGGTTCCAGGTGAAAGACAACTGCACGTTCTTTTGTCCCCTTAATAAGCATGCATTATGCACTTGTTGTGTGCCAGCCAAGTGGGTGATGGGACAGAAAGGAATGAACAGTAGTGAAGGAAGGACAGGTTTCATCAAATACGGTAGTGCATGCAAGGTTTGTAACGGACGTGGCCCCGTGCTAGGTTGCCATGCTTGTTGCCTTTTAAACAAATGAAACATAGTATCCTGTGTAGTTACATTGTAGAGTTGCCACATAAGAAAACAATCCCTAAACCAACTTCTAAACACAGTCACTTAGCCACACACGGTTTTTCCAAAACCACATGCACCGTTCTTACACTGTAGCATTATTACTACATCCAGGAGAAGAAAATGCAAACCACTAGATAGGTACCAGGGTTTTCTGTATCTTACTTTTAATAATCTAATGCTTCTAGGTCGGGGGGGGGGGTGGTGGTGGCTCACGCCTGTCATCCCGGCACTCTGGGAGGCCGAGGCGGGAGGATCGCTCGATGTCAGGAGTTCGAAACCAGCCTGAGCAAGAGCGAGACCCCGTCTCTACTAAAAATAGGAGGAAATTAATTGGCCAACTAATACATGTAGAAAAAATTAGGCGGGCATGGTGAGTGTAGTGATATGCATCCTGCAATCAATATCGGAAAATGTCAACACGTGTGTCATTTTACTTAGTGTCATTCTGGAGATATTAAGTGCCTTAGGACTGTTTTTTTGTGTGTGTGTTTGTTTGATTTGTTTTCTCATCTCTAGTACAGCATGCATTTATTATTATTATTATTTTTTCATTTCGTGTCAAAAACAGTGAGCATGGGAGGAAGCCCGTTGCCGACATTATTACAGCTGTGGCTTGCATCGGTCAGAAGATGCTTTTGAAATGAGCGAAACTCGTTCGCCGTACGGGTCTCTGTTCTGGTGGTTTTGTTGGAACGGCGGCGCTGTGACGGCCACCAGGGTCCCCTCCTTCCCGGAGCCCAGCCCTTGCGGAGATCTGGGGGTCTGGACACTCAGCTCCCTTTTAAGGCGGGGACTTGTGTCTGTTCTGTCCACTGATGTGCTGCTCCGTCTGGGACATTTCCTGGCACATGGCAGGGCATTGGGGCGAATGAATGACTGCATCCGTGGCCTAGGGCAGGGAATGAATGCCTCCTGGTCCAGTCTGTAAAGCGCTGGGAGCCGAGTCCAGACGTACTGGGTCTTGTCTTACTAAACCCCGAGCACGCCAGGAAGGGGGCGTTTTCTGCGTGTTTGTCCCGCAAGTCGTGTCCACTTCGTAGCAATGAAATAAATGATAACGCCACCGCCGCCACGCTTTGGTTTTGTT